ATATTTTTTAATATATATATATATATATATATAATTGATTAGTAGTATTTCGAGCCAAAATAAGCTCAACACGAACGAACAAATATTTATTCGTATTCGGCTCGTTAAATTAGCAAACGAGCCGAACACGAGCTGTTCATCAACAACGAGCCATTTTGACAGCCCTATACGTGATGCATTGTGACGGTGCGTTGCAACAAGGCATCGCGACGACGTGACACGTTGCATTGATGCATTGCAGCAAAACTTTGTGGCTATGCGTTCGGGTGGAGCATCGCGGCGGGGTGTCGCGATGACGCGACGAATTGCGGCGATGCATTGCGGCAGTGCGGGCGGTGTGTGGGGGCGGAGCATCGCTGTGACGCGATGAATTGTGGCGATGCGTTGCGACAGTGCGTCGTGGTGGTGCATTGTTGCGGAGCGTCGCTACGACACAACGCATTGCATTGTTGCAAAGAGTTGCGACGAAGAACTGTGGCCCAGAGTTGACGTGAAAAGTTGCCGCGCATTGTTGAGGTGAAGAATTGCGTCGCAGAGTTGTGATGCAGAATTGCGGCGCAGAGATGTGGTTAGGAGTTGCAGGAAAGACCTGTGACGAAGAGGAAAGTCGTTCCCACTTTGTATAGCAGACAAACAATGTGATATTTTTTTATGTTGCGTTGAAGAGGAAAATCGTCCCCGCCCTGCGTAGCAAGCGAGCAACGAGTTATTCTTTCTCATTGCGGCGAAGAGGAAAGTTGTCCTCGTCCTGTGTAGCAGGCGAGCAACGAGATTTTTTTTTCGCGTTGCGATGAAGAGGAAGATCATCCCCATCTTGCGTAGCAAATGAGCAACGAGATTTTTTTTTGTTGGTGTCGTGCATTCTGAAGAAGATTCAAGTGTCGCTCTTGCACTTTTCTTTTAGAAATGTTGTAGTTCTTGACCGATCTTTTTTTTTTGTAAATCGACAATTACAAGAATTTGATGACGCTACTAGAAGATTTAAATTTCAGCAACAGTGTCAAAAACTTGACTGCGAATTTATATATATATGTTTTATTCAATAAAGATGTATAGATATAATATTCAATAATGTTAAAATCGAATTTGTCAACGCAAGTATATGTATTACTCAAGTAATATAGGGCTCTAATAGAGTCCTAGTTATCGATCCCACAGAGAGAAATAAAATACTACGGACTAAGGCTTAATAAAAAGTAATATTTCAACTACAACGACAGTATTCAAATTGCTTATCTGTCACTAATAGACAATTGAAATAAATAGATAATTTGGATAACTAATAAATAATTAATGATAGAAAATAAGATTTAATTTGTGATATTCAATATATAAGAAAATATCATTCTCCTTGTCAAAAAATTATAGTGAATGAATAAAATGAATTAGTTCAATTTATATTATGCCAAATAGGAGCATACTTATTCTTTACCCTTTGGTCTAGGCATAAAGAACATTGACTAATTCTATGCTTGGTTATTGATTCTGCGGCTAGGCTGAGAGGATACCGGCTCTCACTTCGGAGCTACGTTCCTCTCACCTGAGGGCTAACATCTACACATCAGCACCCAAACGATAGGACCGAATTGGGGATTCTATTATTTCACTCTAAAATCTTCAATTTTACGCCCGATAGTAATATTTCCCTATTTATTTGCACCCAACTTCCAAGAGCTTTGACCTCCTTGAATCTTGAATGTAATATTCACATTAGTTGTAAAACTCAACATATTTTAACAAATCAATTAGCCAAATTAAAAGTAAATTAAGATTGAAGTGAAAAGATCATCACAATTTCTTAAACATTTTTATGGCCTTGCCAATTCAAATCACCATTTAACAAATCTAGAGACAAGAAGAAAGACAGAGAAAACTACTCAGAACTCATAGGAAACGCACAACACAACTTGGAATTCATATATAAAATTAAAGTCATACAAACTATAACAAGTAAGTAACTTATCTCTAAATTTCTCCCTAAGAACACTCCTCGAAGTTCCTCTGAATCTCTTCCTTTCTTTACAACACACAGAA